AATAATAATAATAATAAGTGCACCATCAAGTCAGTTCTGACTAGTTACCATTTCCAGGGTTTTCTAGGTATTACGGTACTCAGAAGTGGTTGACCATTTCTTTCTTCTGAGGTGCCGAGACTGTGCAGCTTGTTCAAGGCTACATAGGTTGGCTGTTCTCCTGGGGGGTATTGTGGAGAAACAAACTCCTGACCCCTGGTGCTCTGACTCACTGACCTATCCAGAGAAGCAACATTCAAAGCCAAAACAGTTTTTTGCTGACCACCCAGTCTCCTGACTTGTTCTGCCTGTGGGAGTGAGACCTCAAAGCAAGGTGGAGAGAAGATGAAATTTTGGCCTCAGGATGCCGCTCACTTCTTTAAAGCAAATACAGATACCAGCAATGCGGGCAAAAGTAGGGTGAGAATTTACCTGTGTAAATGTTGCAGTATTTGCCACCATATTGAGTTGTTACCTCAGGCCCAATACAGGCACTAGAAAGAGATGGGAACTGGCTGAGCTCACGATATAAAGCAGCTATTTCCTCAGCATCACTCAGCAACTGAACAATGAGAAAGAGACAGACACTTAATTAGTTGGGATGGCCACCAGTGAAAAACAATATAAGCTATTGCAATTAGATATTTGTTCCGGGCAAATCTGCTCTTAGGTGAAAAGTGGGAGCAAGAGACTAGGTGACATGGAGCCACTTAGGTGAGTTATAAGAGAACAAAAAGCAAACTGTAGGGCAGTAGCTGGAAACGTATAAGTAATGGCTTTGAGTCTTCCACAGAGTGGAGGAAAATTGGCTGCAGCACCTGCTCCTGCTCCTCCTCTCTGGTTGATGTACTGATGAGTAGAAAAAAAATGACAATCTAACATTTACATTTGTTTGCTTTAATAATAAGAGTGCTGGTCTGAACAGGTGTTTTACTTTTAGGAAGCATTTTAATATGCTGCTGTTGACATGCACCATCCCTCTTCAATATTTCTGAATTCCCACAAGCCTCGGCCAGCATAGTCAGTGGTTAAAGATGACACAATTCATTTGGAGTTCGGGGCACTATGGTAAAGATGACATAGATTCCAAAGGCCAAGATCTCTGTTAAATGCTTTATGGTATCTTCATTGTTACAGGGATGGTATGTGTCTTCACATTTGTACAAATGGCAGTTTTTCATAATACACTGGGCTTTGCTATACTACAGAGTATAAATATACTATTTCGTGCATGTACATAATTGCTAATTCTAACGCATATGCATATTATAGGAAAAGGAACAATGAAGAACAATTCCCACTGGCCTTTTAAAAATATATGGTTATACATGTTAAAGATCAACTTAGCTAAAGACTAGCTAAGTTCATATTGCAAGCAATATCTCTCTATCTGCAAAATGCACTTAAAAAAAGATAAATCAAGTCATACTGGAAAATAAAACTCTTTTCAGAAGTTATATTATGTTGTTCTGAACATGGTTAGAGGGCAGTGCCAACCCTACTCCTTCCGTCAACCCTTTCCTCATGTATTGAGCCTGAAGAGGACAAGGTGGATAAAAATCAAATTGATTTAAACTGAGCCTGAAGAGGACAGGGAGGATAAAAATCAAATTGATTTAAATCACGATTTTAATTAAAAACATCAAGTTTTGATTTAATTTTTAAAATGTTTTTTTAAAATTTACATTGTGATTTAAATCCATTTTTATATTGGTTTTTTTTTAATTTACATCGTGATTTAAATCAAATCCACCCTTGAAGAGGAGAGGCTTGCTATTTACATGTAGCCTTGACATGTGAGTAAGAACCCTGGAAAAGCTATATTTTTGCTCCTGCACAGAGCCTACACTCTGTGAGAAAGGAGCATTCGGGGTTGATTTTCTTCAGAAGAGATAGGTTTGATCTCCTTGCAGCCCGGGGGAATCTCAAGAGTCTCCTCCAGCACCACAATTCAAAAGCATCAATTCTTCGGTGGTCAGCCTTCTTTATGGTCCAGCTATCACTTCCATACATCGCTACAGGAAAAACCATAGCTTTGACTATGCAGACCTTTGTCGGCAAGATGATGTCTCTGCTTTTTAAGATGTTGCCTAGGTTTGTCATCGCTTTCCTCCCAAGAAGTAGGGCCCTTTTAATTTCGTGGCTGCTGTCACCGTCTGCAGTGATCATGGAGCCCAGGAAAGTAAAATCTGTCACTACCTCTATATCTTCCCCTTCTATTTGCCAGGAGGTGATGGGGCCAGTGGCCATGATCTTAGTTTTTTTTTAATGTTGAGCTTCAGACCATTTTTTCCACTCTTCTCTTTCACCCTCATTATGAGGATCTTTAATTCCTCCTCACTTTCTGCCATTAGAGTGGTATCATCTGCATATCGGAGGTTACGACGGCTCGACTAGGAAATTTTAATTCCGGTTTGGGATTCTCCCAGTCCAACCTTTTGCATGTATTCTGCATAGAAGTTAAATACAGTGGACCCTCGACTTACAGACGGCTCGACTTATAGACTTTTCGAGTTACAGACTTCTCTGGCCACAAAATTTAGGTTCAACTTGCAGCTGGAGAATCGACCTACAGACCAGAAAAAAACCAAAATGGAACAAAAACGGCCAGTTACGAATTAATTGGTTTTCAATGCATTGTAGGTCAATGGAGACTCAACCTACAGACTTTTTGACCTGCAGCCACCGTTCCAGTATGGATTAATTCTGTAAGTAGAGGGTCCACTGTAAGCAGGGAGAAAATAAACAACCATGTTGTACTCCTTTCCTAATTTGGAACCAATCAGTTGTTCCGTATCCAGTTCTAACTGTTGCTTCCTGTCCCACATATAGCTTTCCCAGGAGATAGATAAGGTGGTCAGGCACTCCCATTTCTTTAAGGACTTGCCATAGTTTGCTATGGTCCACACAGTCAAAGGCTTTTGCGTATTCAATGAAGAAGTAGATGTATTTCTGGAACTCTCTGGCTTTCTCCATAATCCAGTGCATGTTAGCAATTTGGTCTCTAGTTCCTCTGCCCCTTCGAAACCCAGCTTGTACTTCTGGGAGTTCTCGGTCCACATACTGCTGAAGCCTGCCTTGGACGATTTTGAGCATAACCTTGTCTTCTTTAGCAAAACGTAATGCATCAGTCCTTACAGTGACATGTCATAAAGTTATTTTGAATTTTGGTTCAAGTTTACAATCCAAAAGGAATTTAATGTCTTTAGTCTACCTGGCTTGTTTCAGAGGGCAAGAAACAAAATTAGGCATTCTTTAGTCAAAACTCCTTCTCTGAACAAAACTGCAGGCTTTACAGTCAGTATTTATTACAAATGGCCAAGATGTTTGCTTACCAAGCACAAGTTAATGTGTGACATGCTCTGCCTAGCACCAACTAAAACACTCCTTTAGGAGGGGCAGAAAGAAGAGCTCTATTCAGTACATTATTTCCTTTGAGAAAGCTAGTTATTAGGGCAATTATCAGTATCGTTTTTTGCAAATTTGAGAGGCAGAGAGTGGATCCTCAGGTAGCCAAAACAGCACCATCTAAGCATATGAGGAAATGTCTTTGGGGGGCATCAATGTTTCCAGAAGTACAAACAGCCTAATGATAGCCAAACATACTTAGTGAACAAGAAACAGTAACTAATTGTTAGGGAGGGAGAAATGGAAAGCCATGGAAGGTGTTCATGCAGGTAAGGATCCTTAAAGAGGGCATGGCTAGAATAGGAAGAGTTCATAGTGGAGTATTTTGTTGCAGTTTTTAAACTGGGATGTCCACGAGTAAATACTGTACCGACAAAATCTAAAGTAGGAGAGAGCTGGATAACATTCACTCATACAGAAAAATAACAGGACAGGACAATTACTCTGCCTCTCTTATTCATATATATTTCTTGCATGCCATGGAATAAAGTTAGGCTTGTGAGGTTGGTAAAAGTATGTTGGTCAAGCTGGAAGGGAGCCTACTTACTTTCTATTCATGCAACATCAACATCTGGCATACAGCAAGTTCCTGAAGAGTGCTTGCGCCAGGGCACCAGCCTCCCCCTGATCTTCCAGCCAGTTTCCCCCTCTGCCCTATGGCTGCCTCTGAAGCAACCCCTCTCTTTCTCTCCCTCCCACCCCACGCCAACACTTGCTTCAGGAACAATAAGGGGTCTGAGGTCTCTGTTTACTTCCAAGGCAATTGGTAGGGGAGGGGTTTAGCTCCAATGAGGCTGGCTGGCCCCAACAATTCACTTGTACCCAAAGAAGGCAAGGGGGCCACAAAGGGACGGAAACAGCCACCCACTCCGTCCCTTAAGCCTTGGACTTGTGACGGCCGTGACAGGGGGAAGCGGAAAGGAACACGCGTGGAAGGAAAGGGGCAGAAGCCGAGCGACGGCTGCCTTTCCCCCTAGCAAGCACACAACCTCAGGAGGCGAAGCGCCCGTCGCTGGATCCCCGTTAGTGGGGGAAGCTTGACCTGTTGAATTTTCTTACTCTTTCTCCTACACAGAGACGCAGGAGGTAGAGGGGCAACCCAGAAGCCCAGCAACCCAGCGGCACACGGGCCCCACCGGGGCTGCCCAGGGCGCCTCCCGCAGCCACGGGGAGGGGGCGGGTATCAGGGCTGCGGGGGGTCCGGCCTCAACTCGGCTTCATTTCGCCCCCGGGCTCCTTCCCGAGGGGGGGGGACGCCCAGAGAGGCCCGCCCACTTAGCCTCCCACGCAGGGCATTGTGGGAAGGGACGGACGAGGCCCCGCGTGGGGAGCGAGAGACCGCGCGCCCCTCGTCTCCTTTCCGTCCTTCCCCAGCGCCCACCGACCGCCCCAGCCCGAGACCCAGCCCGGATCCCTCACCAGGGGCTCCATCTCCTTGCCGCTGCCGTGCCAACGCCGCCGGCGGTTCAAAGTCTCGTAACTTTTCCGCTTCTTACCTCCTTCGTCAGCTGAAAGGGGGAGGGTTTTTTTTTGGGGGGGGGTGATTGGGCTATTCCCATTGGCTCCGGACCTGCCCGTCTAAAGCTGAGGCGGCTCCTGAGTGGAACGCCTTCCGAGAACTCCGGGGCTTGGAGGCGGGATTTCCTGGCTATTTCTGGTCCCTTTTGCTGGTTTTTCACCCTCCGCCCTTTCGAGGTCGTGACTTCGTGGGGTCGCCTTGGGTCCCAGGAGGGTCTCCCTCCTTCCTTCCTTCCAAGGATGGGGGACGGATGATGGCTGCTGCTAAGGAACAGAGCAGAAAGCCGAGGCTCCGTTCACCGTTGTGATTGAGGAGCCGCTTTTCTTCCTCCCTTCCCCTTGTTAGACCGAAGGCTTCGTGCTTCCTTTTCTAAGGGATTCTTTATTCCTCATGTGGTTGAAGCCGCATGTTCAGTATCTGAAAGTGCCTTGCAAATCGGGCCCTCACGGGCGGGTCACCAGACAGGGATGCCCAGGGCGGTGCCGTGGAGGAAGGAGGCCCGGGTTCAGGTCTCTGCCCGCACCTTAACGGGTCGCGCAGGAGGGAGCGTGGCTGCCAGCCCTGCCAGGTAGGGCTCGCCGGTGCGGGGCTGAGCCGTGTGGGTTTTCCAGCCTAGCTTCCCTCTCTTGTGGCTCAAGGAGGAGCGTGACCTTAACGCTTAGCCCAGCCTGGTGTGGGTTGCTTGGCTATGGAGGGAGAAGGCTAAACGCCTGGGGGACGAGTTCAGGACAAGCTGGCAGGGTCTGCTCTCTTTTGTTTGGTTAGTCGCGCCGGACTCTGCGTGACCCCCCATGGACCAGAGCACGCCAGGCCCTCCTGTCTTCCACTGCCTCCCGGAGTCGGGTCAAATTCATGCTGGTCGCTTCGCTGACAGTGGTTCGACAGTGTCCTCGAAAGTACCAATCCTTCTCTTTAGAAACCCCATAACCAGTGACGCTGCCCTACAGCAACGAGCCCGGAGTCTGTGTGTCTGATCGTTTAACAGCTCGCGATATCTGTAATTACTACTCGTCTTTCTCCAGCCCGGCTTTTTCTCGTAACTGCCTTGGAGTTTTCGCGGGAAAAACAAAACACAACCCCGCCTCCGCCCCGGAGCCGCCGCAAAGGGAGGTGGCGGGAAAACGCCGCCGCCCCGCTTTCCCCGCCCCTTCGCGTCGGCTGCCCGGAGAAGAGGCCAATCCGGAGCTCTCGCTTTCCCAGCGGGGCGGGGCTAGAAGCTCCGTGTTCCGCCTTGCGGGAGAGGGTCGCCGAGTGGTCGGTCCTGTGGCTGGCGCTGGAGGGGGAAGAGGGAGTCTCGGGGGGGGGCGCCTTCCTGGGTGCCGAGGAGCCCTTCCGGGTGGGCGGCTTCCTTCGTCCTCTTGAGCTCTTCGCGTCCCAGGCCCTCTCCGGGCGGGGGCGTCTCGGTCTGGTCGGGGCTCCATCCTGGCCCGTGTCCAGGACCAGTTTTGGGGAAAGGGCGCTTGTGTCTGAAGCCGGGGAGAGTCGCTGCCCGTCAGGATACCTACCTCAGAGGTGGGCGACTTGTAGCCGGCCAGATGATGTTGGTCTGCCGTCAATATAGCTCAGTAGTGAGGAGGATAATATCGTGCAATGATTTCTCGGAGGTCCTAAATTGCCCATCCCAGTGTAATCTCTCCCAGGAGGACACCTTTAGTCCCCACCCCCCTCACAGCCCATTTTTCTAGCTTTAGAAGAGGTACCCTTGCTAGTCTGTGCTAGCTTATCAGGCAGAAACAAAGACAAAATGTTCTGGCACCTAATTGCTATATTTTAATGCAAGCTTTCATGGACAAGTCAACTTCCTCAGACCTAAGAGTGGGACACTCATTTTTCTGTATTATTCAAGATCATTCTTGCTCTTCTAGTCTCTCACCAAATGGGATTCCTGTTTCATCTTCTTTTTACACTCTTTTTCTCTGTTCATCCAAACCATACAGAGTTCTTTAGTCTGGGTGAATAGTAGTTCCATGATTGATCCTCTGTCCATGTATTCCCAGTTGTATTTATTTAATTGCATGTGACCCTGAGTGCATTCTATTCTTTATCACTGCCCAGGCTCCTAGGTGCTGAAGGCGACCTATATACAGTATGTTTTTTTCCAGAGCTAGAGCTCAAGGTTTAGATACCATTTTTCTCAGGACCAGTAAAGAGTCTGAATTCTTATACTGGCAATGAACAATGACTGTTCATTGCCATGCATGTCTTAATCTGATTGTCTGTGCTAGGATGCCCTTTGATACTTCTCATCCCTTCCTTGTACTTTTGAATTTCCCCTCCCCTGGTTTCCCACCCTCTGGTAGTTGGAGTGACTTCATTGTTTTGAAGATGCTACAAGACCGTACACAATGACACACTAATTGATTTATCTTCTGGACTGGTAGAATAGGTGCTCGGATTCTGTTCTGGGTCCAGGGGGGAAAGGTACATTTTGTGCTTATTGGTTAGAGTCGATCTACGATATTGACAGAACTAAGGTTGTCATTTAAATAAAATGTATGGGTTAAAGGACCTAGGTTACTGCATAACACTTCCCATGCCCACTTTGCTTGCTGCAGAAAGCACCGAGTGCTCCATCTATTTGATCTAATATTTCTGCACTGTGAACACGCTTATGTAAAATTAAAAAACCCATTCCTAAGCTACTGTACCTCAGTTTGGCAAAGTGGCACGTGCTGCTTTCTTTTTAGGGTTAAGACTATATACTAAAGGGATGGTGGAGAGAGAGAAAGAATAAAATAGAAACAGTCCTTATCAAATGATCAGTGTAAGGAATTAGAAGGAAACTGGGATTTGTAGTCATACGAAGATGGAGTCTGTTAGGTTTCTGTATACAGTAGTTTGGATTTAAACTACTGAATGTTCTCATGTGAGTGTTGTCTAAGTTTGGTTTGCTCTGCCTGCCTGGCACCGAGATAAAGAGCAAGGTTGAGAAGATCAAGGGAAGATGAAACACCACATACTTCTTAATTGGGATGAGATAAACCACCTGCAACATCTCATGTGAAATAGGGGCGGTGGACTGTATTATGCCCACTTAATCCTAATTGTTTGACAGCTTGGAGTGTCAGAAAGAGGGAGGTCTAGAGACTTGTAGAAAAATGTTTGTTCATGTATGTGACAGATTGATGACGATGTTGGAATGTTGTTGTGGAGAGAAGAGAGGTTTGTCTTTTTGAAAGAGAAGGGGGGGGAGAGATTCGCCTAGCTCCTCTAGTGTGTGCGAAGATGAAGAAAAATAGCCAGAATGATTACTTAATCATAGTTTAGTCTTTATTATTTTATCTAAAGAATAGGAACTTATTTGAATCATAGTAATAGTATGAACTGTTACTGCCTGAATATGACCATTATGCTTTTTAATGCTACAACTGTATTCTAATGAAACTACTTTATTTTCTTAATAAAAACAAATACAATTCTTCAACAGAGGACTGGTCTCTTGAACAGCAGGACTGCACCTAATTCCAGTGGAGATTGGAAAGGTCACTCATTGCTACTAAATAGAGAGGCCCTACGTAGCCAGTCTGTTGTGCTATCTAAGGAAGCACACAGTCAATGGTTGATTGCCTTGTAAGCAGGCAGAACTCCTTTTTTAGGTCGAGCTTGTCCATAGGGCAAAGGCTATGTGCTTCTGAGGTTAAAGGACCTACCTCAGGTACTAAAAGTGGTAGACTTGCACCTACAAAGACTCCTCGCCTGAGATCATTATCTCTTTAGGGAGAGGTGATTCTAACACGGTGGCAGATCAAAGTGTGGTCTGAGCTGTTGAGAGACTTAGCCTAGATACAGTTGTGCATATCTATGCTGTGAAGTGAAATAAGTTTGCTTTCTGAGTTTGTTATTTTGCTAGGCAAGATGACAGGCAGGGGGGTACGGGCAGACTCCCTTTAGAGACCTTCTAATGGAGAGGTTGAAGTTGGAGCTGCAGCTGCCTTGGTGCCTACATGTGCCAGACCCAAGGAAGCAGTGCAGTCTGCGATCCCCAATTCCAGGGAACTGGCGAGAGAACCCTTCACTCGACCCAGAGAAAGTTTTGTGGCTCAAGTCTTGAGAGCCAGGCGGATAGGATTACAACATGCTGCTGAAGAAGCTCTCCAGGACAGTGGGACTACAGGCAGCCAGTTCTGTCAGACCTGATGGCTCCATTTGTCAGTGTTGCATAGGAAAGCCTTGCCTTTAGCATATACTGTACTGTGTGCTGACAATCTGAAAGTCATTTAAAACTCAAAATATGTAGGACACAAGCTGGTTTCTTACAGGGTCTTTAGTTTAAAAAAGGACTCTCTGCCTCTCCAAACAGGAAAATCTCTGCACAAAAGAATTGATATAAATCTGACATCAGGACTGGCAACACACAAAAACCTATTTCAGAACATTTCAGTCTACCCAGACACTCTTTGGATAACTTGGAAATCACTTTTCCGGGGGGGCGGGGGGGGGCTCTACAAAACAAGGCTTCAAAGAGAAACAGCTAAGATAAGAGATACTGTATATATATATTGATGCCTGAAATCCATTTAAAAGGATTGAGGCTCAATCAGTTGAGTTCTTAAATCATTACAGTGTGTGAAAAGCTACATTGATTCACACAGTTTGCCACTTGCGTAAACTATGCTTTTGTTACCTTGTAGACTGATAATTGACACTATTCACCGCCTGATCACCTATTTTGTTACTAATGAAGACAAAGTGGACCTGATCCATGAAAGCTCATATTAAAATATAGTAGTTAGTCTTTCAAATGCCACAAGGTTTTTGTCTCTTGTTTTTTCAATTTTTTTGTCTGATATGCCTGATTCTCTTTTTGTTATAAATATTGTTTCTTGCTTAGCAATAATATAACCATTTTAAAACAAAATTGTTCCATGACAAGCATTCTCTCTAATTTTCCAGAATGCTGTGCAGGAGCCCTGCCCTGGGAATGCAGAGTTCTGACTACTACCAGAAGCAAATGGGTGGCCCCAGTCCAGTGCTGTGTGGCTACGCAGCTTAGAGAGAATATTTTCCATGTCTGTATAAGCTTATGTGTATGTGCTGATCTAAACCTCTCTCAAATGTTGCTGGCAATGTGTAATTTAGAGATTAAATTTAACAAGGGAGAGGCAATGTATAATCTAGAGATTAACTTCATTAGGAAGTAGCAGCTTAAGTTTTGGTCTTGCTTATCTACACCTTAGAATGTATGAATAAGATAAATCCTGAGGTTACAGAAACTATTTGTTTTAGTTGAAACTGGTGTTAAAATTTAGTGATGACCCATGTATATTTAAAAGGGGGCTTTCCCTTGATTGGAAAGACACATATCTTTAGTTAATAGCCCTATGTGCTCTCCTATTCTGCAGAGTAAAACCTTTGAAAAAAGTCCCACTTGGTCTTTGATAAGTAATTATTGGTCTCAGGGTATAATTGGGCAGACATCTGGGAGTGCAGAAACACATTTTTGCAAGAATTCCTTCTTTTGAAAACTGCTCCCTGAAATTTTCCAGTTACTTGTCCTGCTGTGAGTAGGGAAAGAAACGCCTTGGGAGAGAGACAGTCAAGCTGTCCCCAAACGTTGGGGCCGCCTAGAGCCTGTAGCCATGGAAAGGGGCGATTCCTTTCCAAAGAAACTGTGTGCACTGTGCGTTTTAAAGCTGCTCAGGACACAAAACCAATTTGTCTCTCTCCAAAGGGGAAGCATGTGGTTTTCATGACAGTGCACAACAGAGCTGCCTCTTGGCAAAGAAGGGCTGCCTCACACCAACTCCTGCCAGTGCTGGCTGTGTAGGACTAAATGTTCCTGTGCCAGTACTGAATGGGGAATAGCACATGCTATGTGACTCCCACAGGAAAGCTGTGCAGCTCCAGGGTCTGCAGGCGGCACATTGTCAGTGTGAATGGCTGAAGCTCGCAGCAGGCGGTAACCTCCTGCCTGGCTCACTAATGACTTCTCCATCTACAGGAGCAGCTCTCCCTCTAAGCCAGCTAGCAACATCTCTGGGTCAAAAGACCTCTCCCCTGCAAAGCTGAGTGGGACGTTGGCCCTCACGACCGTGTGATTGGAGGGCAATGACAAGTGACACACATGCTGGTTAGTGTTGCCATCGTGTTCCTAATCAGCTGAGCAACAACACGAAGCACTGAGTGGCAGATGGTTGTGCAGGCACTAAGTGGAAGCTGCATCCGCCTGGGGTGGGTGGGTGAGAAAGACCTAGGTATGGTAACACAAGTGGGTGAGAGAGGGAGAATAGAAGCAAAAAAGAAGAACTGGTGTAGGGGGGAAATAATTAAATATTTCAGAGGAAAATGTTGTGTGTGAGTGTATGTGTGTTCATGTTCTTTTGCCACTGATTTAAATCAAGGTGGGCAATGTTTTGCCCTCTAGATCTGGGCTGTAATTCCAAGCATTCTTTACTTCGGATGTTGGCTAAGGCTGTTGTTGCAGCCTAGTAACACATAGAGGGCCAAACTTTCCCTGATTTAGAGACTCCACTATGACCTTCAAGCTTCAGGTTTTCTCTTTCCAAGAAAGGTTCCAGAACAACATTCCCCATCATTTTCTAAACCATTTTGTTTTTCTATATATCCTGCAAAAATCTTCCCTCTCCCTTGTATATTGCATGATTTTTATGATTTTTTCCCCTCAGTCCGTTGAATTTGTGGCATTTCCATAGGTTAAAATTGTGCTTATCAGGAGGCATTAGTGACTTAACTATGGGCCTTGATGGGCATGTGTGCCCTTCAGAGTAGTTCCATTTGTTCTTAAAAGGGGTTATAGATATTTGCTGATCCTTATTATATTAACCAAGTTGTTGTTGTTTGTTTAGTCATGTTTTGTCTTTGTGACTCCATGGACCAGAGCACGCCAGGCCCTCCTGTCTTCCACTGCCTCCCAGAGTTGGGTCAAATTCATGTTGGTCCCTTCGATGACACTGTCCATCCATCTTATCCTCTGTCATCCCCTTCTCCTCGTGCCTTCACACTTTCCCAACATCAGGGTCTTTTCCAAGGATTCTTCCCTTCTCATCCGATGGCCAAAGTACTGGAGCCTCAGCTTCAGGATCTGTCCTTCCAGTGAGCACTCAGGGTTGATTTCCTTCAGAATGGACAGGTTTGTTCTCCTTGCAGTCCAGGGGACTCTCAAGAGTCTCCTCCAGCACCACAATTCAAAGGCATTAATTCTTCGGTGTTGGTACAACTGATTGAGCTACCACAGCCCCTGCTTGCAAGAGACTGCTTGCTTGCTGAACTACTATGGCGTGCCTGCCCATCTGGTAGCCACCAATCCTTCACCTCACCACCCATAAAAAGTCCCAACTGATTACCAATGTAAGCTTCAGAGATTATCATTCCATTGTGATCCATTCACTTGCGCCTGGTATCATTAGCACTGACAACCTTATGATGTATTGTGTATTTGATTGCATTTTGTAGTGTACTATGTTAGGGGCTGTCCTTGAATCTAGTTCAGAGGCTGTAGTTATTATGGCAGTGAGGGTGCCCAGTGGAGCAACGAGGTGTGCACAGGTTACCACTTGTGTCGAAAGAATGGCACTGGCTGCCTCCTGGGCCCCTTTCAAAGCTTTGCTATTGACCCACAAAGTCCTAAATATCTTGACACCAGGATCTCTAGAGACTGCTTTCCTCTATATGAACCAATAGGCCTTTAACATTTTCTGTGGCAGCCTTAATTATTATTTCAGTGAAGTGCTATTTGGTGGCAATATTATGAAAGGAGGACTTCTCAGTGGCAACTGAGGAAAAATTCTATCCTGAGAGGTTAGAAAAGCAGAAACAGTATTAACAAACATACCTGATTCTTTCTAATCTAACCTATATCCATCTGTGTTTGTACTTTGATCTGCCTGTGCTGTGGAGCTGGATGCTGGCAAGCCTACTGTAGATTACTCCTGTCAGGACTGTAATGAATCACATCTGCAGCATCTATAGTTAATAATTATGTGCTGTCAAGTTGATTTTGATATATGGTAAACCTTTTCAGAGTTTTCTAGCTATAAAGAATTTGTTTACTAGTCCCTCCTTCTGATGGCATTCTGGGACTGTGCGGCTTGCCCAAGGGAGCCTAGGTGGCAGGGCACATAACCCGCCATACATGTTTCAGGTGATCTCAACTGGCCTCTCTACCAGGAGGCACAGTAGGGATTTGAATGTCTGACCCCATTGGCTCAGCAGCCATGCACTCCAATCCAATGGCCCAAATACACTTTCTACTGAGTGAAAATTTCCACAGTCTGTCTTAAAACACTTTGCCCCAAAGACTAATAGCAAACCTTGTCATTCTTTTCTGGTTCTACAGGGTAATGTGATTCATGATTTAAAATTAAGTCTAGGCATAGGAAATCTGGGCTTTTGTCATTTGCAAAATGACAAAATGACAGTTCATTTGCAAAGCATGTAAAAGGTTTCCATTTCAGTCCCTGACATCTTCAGATAAAACAATTTCAAGCCACAGTGCTGAGAAATAACTTTACCTGTGGCACTGATGGGCTATAGCACTCCAAATGGACATTGGGCTAATGACCTCACAGTGAAAATTAGGTTCATGTATTCATAAGTAAAGTGGTGTAGCAAGAAATGTTGATATAAAGGAAGCACAAAGCTGCACACAACTGTAACCAGTTTGGGCCACTGACCCTTTCTCTCACATATGGGAAGACTTAGGTCTCTCATATGTCTCTCATAAGGTGGGAAATAAATCCTTGATCTCTAGTTGGAGCAACTGGATCTCTTGCTGGATAAACGTATAGAGTAGGATTTTGAGACATTCTGTGCACCTTCCTGTGGCACTTAAGCTCTTTCTGATGATGGTATAGTGCAGTGAAAACAGATTGGATTGTCTTGTTGATGGCTGTTGTGCAAACAATCTTTGCACATAAAGCTCACTTTTTAGGACTTCAGAATGAGACAGGCAACTAATGCAACAATATTCAACTTTGCCTTAGTTTTCCCTAAGGTAGCAAAGCTGTGTTCAGGTGGCATCACTTCAGGCTGCACATGCTGACTCTTAATGGAATGGCCTCACATCCCCAAAAATATAGTGCATCTTTCTATCTCCTACATAGGGTTCCATGTCCAAGGAATTTTGGGGTATTTGGAAGTATTCAACCACATAAGCCTGCCCTCCCTCAGAGCTAGGAAATTTATAATTTTTGGACTACAGCTCCCAGAATTACTGAGCGAGCAAGGCCATGCTGTCTGGGGAGAGTAGGAGGATTGGAAGCTGTATTTTACTAAGTGAGACAATCGGTCCAACCAGTCCAGTACTGTCAATACTTGACTGGCAACAGATTTCCAGGGTTTCAGGCAGATGTTTTTCCAGTCCCATGGAAGATGCTGGGTATTGAAACAGGGGCCTTCAGCATGTGAAGCCTGTGCTCTCTCACCTAGCTCAATCACCTCAGTTGTGGGAACTGCAGTCTAAAGAAGTCTTCTAAGTTCTGTCCCTATTGCAACTTTGTCAGCTGGGGCACAGAGTTGTCTCTAAGTGGTTGATAGGGAGGGCACAGAAGCAGGTGTTGATCTATCGCAAATGGATTCTCAAAAGTCTTGCTTGCCACAGAAAAAATACATCTCAACTTCAGATGTCTTCAATAGGTAGGGACTAAGCCAGAATAACTCAGGAATCATATCAAGTCCTTTTATTCTGTTTTCCACAGAAATACCTTGTAGGGCAACTTGCCATACGGAATCACAATACATGAGGTGGTACACTAAAATACTACAAGTTCTCACAGAGCACAGCAGGACACACACATCATTTACAATGTTCAGATAAAGGATTTAGGTCATTGCACTTACAACTGTAAACTTCTTTTGTTTGATGGGTTGTTTGTTTATACAGAACCTCTCCCACCTCCAAAGTAATAATAAAAAAAAGAAAGAAAGAAAGAGGAAAGAGAACTCAAGATACATGGAAGGCAGGAGGAGAGTGTGGAAAGTGTGTTGTGTGACAGCCACAATAACTCTACAAGACACTGCTATGCTTCGCAAGAAAAGGAACAGTCCAGGGGGGCCAGTCACAAAACACCAGGCTTTCTTAGTTGATTTTTTTTGTACACAAAAGCAACAGTTGGCAGGTGTGCTGGTCATTTAGATGGAGCCCCACAAAAGGGACTTGTGAATTGATTGTTTTCTTTTCTGTTTTTTTTTTCATAACGTATGAGATTTTTTAAATTTAATTTTTTTTACACACTGTACATATATTTACAATGGAGGGGGTGAAGGGAGGTTGTAGCAGCCACTGTTGAGAAAACCTGTAGGGGACACAAATTCAACCTAGAGCCCTGAAGAAGCATCCTCAGATTATGCACTTGTTATTGTTGGGACTCCATGTGGTTTAGGAAGCAAATGAATGGGGAGAGCTGCAGCCACCACCACTAAATGCTTTGTTCACCTCCACATGGAAGCAGATCCACATTTCAGAGCACAAAGAGAAGGAGATGGGAGCCTCTCAACATGCCATTCCAGCTGAAGCAGCTGCCAAGAAACTATACCTGCCATATAAACCTTCCACACTGGATGCAGTTCCATTAGGAGTAGTTTTTCTTCCTTCCTTTCCTGTTCAGAATTTTTAACAATCTATTCTTTGCCAGAAAAGTCCATGCACTCAATTGATGATGTGGAGGCTGTGAGCCTAGTGTGAATGAAGATTATTATGCACATAGAGCAAGTGGTAAAAGTGGGTTGTTGATGATAGGTAACTTGCCACTTAAGTGGACAAGGTGTTTTCTTACCCATGGAAAATATCACTGAGTTGACATGCTCTGGCCTCCATGTTTTGCTCCAACGAGGCTGTATAATGAAGTGCTCTCAGGCTTCCTAATTAGGTTATTCAGTGGCGATTATGCTTTTCCTAGGCACGCACTCAGTTTAACAGCACAGGGAGTCTACTTAGAGACAACTCTCGAGTTCAAAAGTGTAACCTTTGTCTTCCTCTCTTCCCTGATCATCCAAGGCTTATACCAACTGCTGTGTCAAATGACACTGTTATTTCAATGAAAGGTTTCATGCTGGTGAAATACAGTGGAGAGGCTACTCTAAGAAATGGCATAAAAATCAAGAACTTCCCTATCTTGTCCACCTGCCTCTTGTAGAAAAGATTAGATTAAGGCTTATGGGTGTTCATACTTTATGGTCGCTCAGATTACCAGAGCAGGAAGGGGAGGCTGTGGCAAAGGTTATGTAGGCAGTGTGTCTATCTTGACTGAGAAGCTGTTTTCAGCAGCCACCAACAGACTTCCTATTTGCACTTTTACATGTGCCACCCAAGGCTGTGTCTGCACTGGAATGAGTCAGAGACTGAGTGTGCTTGTATCATCTCTGCAGTCCAAGTAGCACATGGGCTTCAGTACACCCAGGGCTCCCTTCTCAGTCCATGCAGCTCATGGAGATAACTGTGATGTTATTTAGGCAGACACTTGCTTTTGTTGCCTAGGTGTCAAAGTTAAAAAAAAAACCAACTACCTGCTTTTCCCACAGGCACAATAAAGCGACATATGCATGAGCAGGCCAGTCACTGCTTCCCAGACACGAAGTGTGTGCCCTGAGCCTTTGGTGCCAATGGAAAGCCATATTGTTTTATGCTTCATTTTGCATACTAGCTGATAAACTGAATCTAACACTCAAGCTTAAATATTACACAACCCTGGATTCCACGAAGCTGTGTCATAGGTCTTTCTTTTTAGGGTATTTCAAAAATGTTAAATGCACACTGAAAATGTTAAGTGTGAATGCTAGATAGCAAGCCACGATTAACCAGAGCTCTTTCTTGGGTATAGTGGTTTGCCACCGCATCATGTTGTGAAATGGCCCATGCATTCATCTGACAGATTCTCCTTTAAAAACTGAACTTTATTTTGGTCTCTGTGGAAGCAAAAGTCTCCAAGGGTTTTCAATATATGCCAATGATGATCCACCCAAACTTTATGTCATTGTTAACCAGGACTCTGCAGCTTCTCTTGATGCACCAGTGCCATTATGATGTAGACAGTGGGCATGGAGCATCTTAGCCAAGTGCAAGAATCAAAAGGAGAAATGGTTCTTTGAATCTATATTCTACCTCAAAAGTCTTCCACATTTTCAAGAACTCATTATTTAACAGAGACATTGGATGCTTGCCCTTTCCTTCCCTCCCCTTTCAATGTAAAAAGGTATGCAGATTTATTCTAATTTTTGTGGTACACTCTACATCTATCAGTCCAGCATGCAGGGCACATCCCAAGTGCTACCACTGTACCAGCAGTATGAGTACAGTGACTGTGGATGTGGCTGTTCCCTATTCTGGAATCTATAGCTTCTGAAATTGTACTTCTCAGTGGCTCTCAGCCTCCAAGCTGGGGGACAGTAGTCAGGAGTTCTTTACTCATTAACACTGCATCAAGTGGGGAAAGAAACCAATTCCTGCCGGACCTCAATTTTTGAATTAGGATGTATTTTTGTACTAACTGATGCAGAGCTGTTCAAATGGCCATTACAGCATTTGTTAGTGTGTTCCATTCTGTTCTCAGAGCACCTTCCCAATCTGTCGTGCTCTCATGTCAAAATAGAATTTGGTTTAAAATTTTGAACAGGAGGAATGCGCTTCAGGTCTAGGCAAAGCCTAGGATCCCCTAGAAGTGGAAACTAATGGCTACTGCAGGGGAAGATGTGGCAAAGATTGGAGAGTTAATGTACTTCAGTGGAGAACATCTGGTGTTAGCATTCTGCAGGATAATTTCATATCATGGTTTCACTGACAGGCCTTCAATAACAAGTGCATAAATCTGCTTATGGCATTCAATAGAGAAGATGAACCAACTGGAGAAAAAAAAATAATCCCAAGCAAAGAACGGCAAGCATTCTAAGTAGATGAAACCGTGCAGAGAAGTAGCAAGTCATGCTCTACAACAGACAGAGACAGTCACCGGCTCTATGGCTACCCTTTGGCAAAAAGTGTCCCTCGAATGGGTCAAGCATGCCACTAATTGAAAACTTCATACACACAGGTGTTCGATATAAAGATATCTATCCAGTTTCTCAATAGCACATTTGCAATTAAATCCTTATACATAACATTAAACTTATTAAATATTAACAGTTGTTCTTTAAAATTTGTTATTTCATTGCATAGAACATTAGACATGAGAATCATTTTGCTGTCACCCATGGTGAATGGAAGCTCCTATGGGTCACACCAATGGATTGTTGTTCTTGAGCATGCTCAGCGTGGACGAGAGACAGGCAGGAAACAGATAGCACAGACAAATGGGAACCAGAGCATCTGTACATTTGCTGGAGTCTTTATAGCAACAAAACAAAAACAAAAAGGAGCTGTTTCACAAGGTTTTCGTTCGACTCTCACGGATTGTAGTGCACAGAGCTCCTTACTGGCAGATTCAACGATATTCTGCTCCAGGTAGCTCCTCCATCATTCTGAGCATGCCCACTGGTAATGGCTTAAGAAGGACTTGAATTGCACAGTAGTAGGAAGGAGGGTGGCAGAGGCAAGCTCTCCTGATCTCAACACACTGGATTGTGCTCTTTATAGCCTTCTGCACTCTATTGCTTCTACCAACAAGAGCCCGTATGCTAACTCAGTACAAAGCAAAGAGGAAAATAATTGATACAAAGTTTAAAAACAAAGCAAAAGAAAAAAAGGAACCTCACACAAAAAGAAATTTAACCCCCAGTTGCTGGGTGTTGTTGATGAGGTATACACGTAAATAAAAGTGGAATGATTAAGGCTGTTTTTGAAATAAAAATAATCCCCAGGCATACATAAAACAATGCGCAACACTAACAATGGAAAGCACTGCCATTTGAATGCTTTAGAATGGCTTCAGGATGGCTTTGGGTGGCTGATAAGACATGCCTGGCCAGCGTTTGCTTCAGTCAATAGTCAGCCAGTTCGCACTGCCTTTCAGAGTCCTATGGCCTCTTATCTCAATAGTGAAACAGTGTTAGGTCCTAGTCCAAGTTCTCCTCGTCCCATGCTTTCCATTGCAGGGATGATGAGAGGGAACAAACACTGTGCAGGTGGAGGGATTGACGGGCAAACTGGAATGTGAAGGAGAATGGAGCATCTAGCTCCCAGCCCTCAACTTAAGCACGTCTTGGAAAGTGGGAAAAACCTATGAAGAGTCTAGAGATAAAATTCAGTAAGAGAGAAACTCTGTGTATAATCTCAAGAAAGGGCCATGGCTCCCAATGTTAGACCCTAGGCACAAATGGAACCACAGCCATGGGTAGTCTCTGGAGCGCCAGACATCTCCTCCAGCATCAAAGAAGTGGCCAGTCTGTGTCACAAGTTGCAACAAGCCCGTGTTCTGTAAACATCTTCTTAGACTAAGAGTCTGCCTCCAGCTTTTGGAGCTCACACAATACAAACTACAGAGTTGACAACCAGTGACTTTCTGAAACCTTTTGTGACAGGTGGCTCAAATGTCCTCAAGAGCTGCTCCCAGGATCCATAGGCAGGCATCTGTATAAACATCTCTTTCACCGTCAGTCTCATAGCCTATTGTTTTCCATGGTTTCAAAAGCTTGATGAGACAAAAAAGAAGACAGAGATACTGTATTTACAGGAACCATTCAAATAAATAAAATTTCTTGTCATATTATGGTTTGGTACCCCCTTTCCTCATCCCGTTTGGGTGTTCACCAAGAATTTCTCCTGAAAGTTCTGTTGTACTGTATGATTGCAACATATATCCTTTGGAAAGAGAGTAAAACAATTCCAGGCACAAGCCAGGAAAGGCCATCAGTCAAACGGCATGGCTGATCAAGTAATGAAATCAGCTGCCCCCACATACTGTGAGAGGCAATGGTTTCAGACACTGGGACTATGTGAGGATTAGGACTGAAAGAAACAGCACTTTCCCTGAGAGGCTACCTGGGCCTTCTCACCTCTTCACTTAAACTGCAAATCTGAGTCATACTGTATTTATGCACTGAGGTAGGAAGTGAAAGAAGCTCCCCACTTACCTCAGCAGGGATAAGTTCATTTTTCCCCCAAATCAAAAAGCATGCAGTCCTTTCAGTGAACTCTCTAAAATGGACAAAAAAACAGATAGAGCCATGAAAGGAGATTGTGCTGTATGGAAAAGCTTCAAGGACCCATGGGCTCGAATCAGCAAAGCAGGACAAGGTTGTTCTCTCTGCTCTTGACACAGGGCTGCTGGGGCCCTGCGGCCTTTGTAGCCCTGCTCTGCCAGGGCTACAAAGGCCGCAGGGCCATGTTATCTCCTCAGTCTCTTTTTCAAGAGAAGAGCATGTCACCTAGAGACCTGCTGCCTTTTCCTGGTAGAAGTCTGCACAGCAACGGGCAAAACAGCCTCTCCTCTGAGAGCTGCTGCATTCTCTGGTTCGGGCAAAGAGAGTGGAGTGGGACTGTTGTTTATGCTCTTCGGTGCTGTTGAATCCCAGCTCCTCCTCCAAGAGCAGTCACTGTTATATATAGTATTTTACATGAAGGTTATGGAGTGGCCTTTCTCAGTAAAAATATGAAACCAAGGACAAATATCTTCACTTCATGCTTCCCACAATGGCTTTTGGTATCCATTTTATATCCAATTTGCAACTCTTGGGTCTGCAGTTTAAAAAATAATTATCTAACTGTAGAGCTGGAAGGGGACCCTATGGGTCATTGAGTCCAGCCCCTGTCAGGGAGGGGCAGCGGGGAATGAAATTCCCAACCTCTGCTCCACAGCCAGATACCTAAACCACTGAGCTATCCAGCAGTTCATTTACTTGCATGTTTGGAAAGACTTGCCCTCCTGCAAACCTGATGTCATTCAGATGCTCTTGCATTCCCTAAGACAGTGGTTCTCAACCTTGGGTCTCCAGATGGCCTTGGACTACAGCTCCCAGAAGCCTTCACCACTAGCTGTGCTAGCCAAGATTTCTGAGAGTTGTAATCCAAGAACATCTGGGGACCCACGTTTGGGAACCACTGTGCCTAAGCGAACAAAGCACTATATAAATGGGATTCGTTTTCTGGTAATTCTCTGGTATGAATGTTTTAACAATTCTTCTCAGTCTCTCTGCCCTTATCTCGGGGGATCTAAGTACTTACATGCATGATTCTACTTGTTTGTTCACTCAGCAGTACTATCTTCATGCTATCTCTACGTGTCACTGTTCCGGTTTTGTCCTTAATTTCATATTTTCCTTAGCACTGCTCTCCTGCCAACATCACTTTGCTTGAATTTCCTTTGCCAGTGTTTACAAGCCCAGATGCACAAGCACTTCCTCTTCAGTCTACAGATCATGGATCTCCATCACCAGCCTTACATTCTGCTCCTCCACAGCATAGGTGAAGGAGGCCGGGAACTATGGTCAGTAATGAAACAGCAGGAAAAATGTGGCTAATGCGGATGATAAATTTCCCTAGAGCCTAAGCTAAAGGCATGAATATTGCAGCCTTTTGTCCTCTCTCCTCACAGCCAGATTTCCCTGCAGATGATTCTTTCCCCAAAGAAATCTTGTTGGGAATTTTCCTAAAGATTTCAAAAATCATTTTTTTTCAGAGGAGACACCAGTCTGTGCAGAATTAGTACACTTCCTATACAGCGCTACATTTTCCTGCAGACTATTTCCCAGACAGGGCACTGAGCCACACACTCTTCCCCAGAATCTTACACAGGATTTCCCAGACAGGGCACTAAACTGTAATTCAGAATTTGGTAATTTCCTACACATACAAAGTAGGTGAAAATGGGTGTGTGTGGGGGGGAGGTGGGAGAAAATAAGGATTGGGAAACTGGGAGATCTTGCTGGTAGTGGGAAAGTTTTATCAGAAAGTCTCAGCATAGCAAGACTTGGAAAACTGGCAAGAAAATTTTCAAATACTTGTCTCTGTTTTAGGCGCATGGAACAGCCTGATGGGGAACGCAAAAAAATAAATAAATAAATAAAGGAAAAACAGAGAGATAATAGGACGTACGTTAGGGCATAATGGAGGCACCCAACAAATGAAGTAGAAAGTGTGCAGATCCCATTCCTATCTTGGACAGAATGAGACTGAAAGAGAGTACAGCATGAAAACGGAGTCCATCAGTTGACACTTACTGTTATACCCAGAGTCTGGAGCAGCAGACTAAATTCCGTGGATTCTTCATAGGTTTTTCCAGTGCAATGATGAGATCTCCACTTACATTCCCAAACTCCTGCCAGGATAATAAGAGACTATTATTATTA